TCGTTACGTTTACGAATATCAAATTTCGATTGGCATGCAACTACATTGGTGACTAAACCTACGGCAATGATATGTGTTTCAAATATGGTTGTTAAAGTGCAATCGAAAATAGAGCATGTTTAGAAATACATTACTATCTATTTTACAAATATAATCTACTTTGTGCAATACTACGTTAATATTATAAAATGGCAATAACTACTCTAATTTCCTATTAAATGCTATCGTACTTTACAATAAATCAGATCTTAAGGACTGATTTTAATTAAGGACTATCCAATTAGTGATACCGTATGTACTTTGCTACAATAGAATATCGATGTATTTACAACCACTAAGACGTTTAATTCAATAATACTATGCTCTCATGGTCTAAACCAATTAATTTATGCTATTAATAACTCACTAGCTAACTTGCCCGTCGAGATCGAAACTATACCGGTAAAACTGTTACATCTATCGTCAAAGTGCTATAATTTACGTACTACTAGTAGTATCTTAATGTAAATGTATTCGAAGACAAGTACTGCGTGATCTTGCAAGTAAGCCTACAAACGTGATCAGTGTGAATCACGAATTTTCAAACACAGCAACTATGCTATGAGAATCTGCATTGTACTAGCTGAAAATATAGTAAATATAATCTATTGATAGTGTACTAGTATCAATATTCTATGTAACAATTGCAAACCAACAAAAATTGGCTAATTACATCAGTAAATATTTGGACTGTGGCAATTACAAGTACCTAATATTGTATTTAAACATATAAAGGTCAAAATTATCATGAAACATAAGGATAACCGCTTAAGTGATCATACTTTATTAGCATATTGAGTGATAATTCGATTTTGAAATCATTATTAAATTTAGTACTCATATTATATTTACCTAAGGTCTTGTTGTGATACCATAGCTGTACGATACTACTATTCGCTGCTAAATTTTGTGCTAATTGTAAGCCAGCACTTTCCAGGTCTTCGATATTTGTATTTGCATCGATATTAGTTCTATTAATAGGATTTGATGTTGATAGATGTGTATTTGATTTTGATGTAGTCGATGCAGGTGCTATCGAAGGTATCGCTGTTATTAGATCTAGAAAAAATGATGAGTATTGAGAAAAATTCTTAAGATTTCATATTCATCTCCTAACTATGAGCAAAACTGAGATTATGAATGAGAGGTAAAAATTATTTAATCATAGTATATAGTTGCGAATCAACTACTGTAGTTAAACTATCTATTCACCCCATACTCAAAAAAATATAATATCGAAATCGTGAAAGTATAATCTAGCTAAGTTAGTATCTTCATTTAGAACCAGAAATAATTACTTCATAATGATTGGTAATTTTCGTGATAGAAAATTACAAAATTCATAATCATGCCTTGAAAGTATTCTTAGAATTAATCAAATCTATTTTTAGAACTAAGATGATAAAGCGAGATTGAGCTACATGAAATAGATGGATTTTATGGGTGTGTTATAATCTATAGATTTAAATTATTCTATAAAATTCATTACCGTCGTCATTTAGTGCTTTTTGACATATCGGGTAAGCTAATTGACTAATGCAATCAGCTGGAATCCAACTCCAAGACTCCGTCTCAATATCATATTGCAAAATAACGCATTGATGGCCACTAGGTTTAGTCTTTAATTTTGTAGTATCATTTCGATAAACTTTAGCGTTTTTTTGGATCCAAAAGTAATCTTGTGGATCTTTCTGAAATAATCCAATCCAAAACGACTGATTTGAATAGCTAAAAGGCTTGGCTCTAAATTGCACCTTATTTAGTATTACGCTTTCTACAAAATTTTGCTCTTCTCGAGTGTTTAATAAGACCAAATCTGAATTCCAATAATGACAAATTTCGCGAGCTTCATAAAAAGCTGCGAGTGAATTGAATATTTTAATACAACTAGAATTCTGAAAATCCCATGAATTGGGGCAAACGGAGTGCTGCTTATCTGCGATGAAATGACATTAACATAATTAATTAAGTTTTGATAGATTATATTATAAATTATTAGACATTATCCTTAACGTCACAATTATAGAATATTTTAGAGTAAAGTGATCGTTCCATTATAAAATAAGGAAAATTACACATCTTATTACAACCCTTACGAAATATTTTGGGACTTCTAAGGATATCATTGGATGTTCCAGTTGCAACTGAAATGATCGATAAATACAAAGTTTTTGAATATATACGATAATATAACTAATAAGGATGAGAAACAAAATTATTTGTTCGAGTATTCTGCAGTTTATTTAAAGAAAGGTATCTTTCTAAAACCAATAACTGGTATTTTACTCCTGCACTACCTAAACTAAACTATTGAATACCTCGATAATATTAGAGCTACTAGTAAGCTGGTACTGCGTTCCAAATTAAATGATAAACTATTTGTAATTTTAATGATATTAATAGTTATAAATGTATTATGCGTGGCATGCTATTATCAACATGACACCAAATTGGGCTACCATATTTAAATGATATCTTACATCTTTGGCAAAGGGCTTTATATTTATTGTCACAATTTCGAATATACCAAAAACTGATTGCTTCATTATACTTTTTCAAGGTAACACAGCCAGTCCCATTAGCTACACTTGGCACTCCAGTTGCCCAATTAGAATAGTTAAATCGTGTTCTATTATCATACCACACGAAAGAATCTAATCTCGATTGTAATCCTATCCAAACTTCATCCCCATCATTTAGTATGGTATTTACGATCAATCCAACTTTATGGTCATAAATAATTCCGGGATGGGAAGCTTGAGAATCTTGACATTGGCTCTCATATTCTCCGTACGTTATCTTGCTACTTATAATGTCAAAGCAGTATTTACCATGTAGCAGCCAACGTCCCTGGCAGGTAGCTGTTAAATTCATGTAGCCATGCCGAAATTTAACTCAATTACAAACATCATTTATTGTTATTACTAACTAATAACTATTTTTGTGATTCTGCTATCTAAGGATGGTGATAATGTTGATTTATCTTTGCGGTCTAAGTTGCATAATTTATTTTTTAGTAGCATTCTATAGGAAGAGACGTTCTGAACTATTAAATAGTAAGCTATATACAGTAAAAGATTGCCAGTGACGAATGAGATATGCAAACCCGCTTTATTTCTGGTTACAATAATATCCTTAATTGATATAAGTATTTTACTTACGAAAAATGGTCTTCCCATTGATGCAACAATATTGGTGGTGGGGTTACTCTAAATTCGAAATAAACAAGTCAAAAATTGATTTCCTTAAAATAAATTATGTAAAGAACATTACTTTTCGAAATTACTACTGCCAAAACAACACAGTATTAGCATGCTTAGTAAAAATAGGAAAAAAGCCTAATTGATAGCAGAAATCTCGTGAGACTAGCATACGAATATATTAAGATTGCAAAAATTCTAAATAAACTTTAAAACAAATAATTTAGTACTATTTATTCGTTCATATAGTGCGGATATATTTTATGCCCTGTTAGTATTAAATCTTAAAGGATCAATAAAACTGAAATTAACACAAGTCAATATCGAATATTATGTGCAATTTTGTAGCAACAGTCAAGGCTATCTTGCAACTGTATTAACAGTCTGCAGGTCAAATTTATTATTGTAATACAATATCATATCATTGTCAGCTTTTCTATTACAATAATCTGATAGAAAACTTTAATTAATTATGCATGTGTAAATTCGGTGCTATCATACCAAAATATCAGTAGAGGCTTGAGCTCTGGCATCTATGGTAAACAACAAATAAAATAAAATATGCATACATGTTTACGATAAAAATGTGAAAGATAGCATTAGATTACCAGCGCCATAATGTAAGTGTAAGTTATAGATGAATTTATATCAGATTAGACTCTTTCGTGTATCTGAAATTGAATTACCTTGCATACAAAGCGGATAAAAATGTCGATTATTTAGACATTTTTGTAGCCGCCAATGAATGGTAGAATGAATCACTCCGGCTACCATACAAATATCAACTGCTCTGAGGTGTGGATATGTTTGATATTCATCTTTGCCAAACCACTTTAGACCGCTACTGTTTGATTTTAGGGCAACCCATAAAGATTTTCCTGTAGATAGGACTATACTCTCAACGAAATTAAATTCAGACTTATCACGTATAATCGCTAAGGTTGCGTTCATACTGATGCAATATGCGAATGCATTAGACCAAGAACTAAAGTTAGTTGCAGGGGAATAGTAACAATTGCCTCCAATTTGCAACCAGTTTACTGGACAGCTTAGATCTATACGATTTTTAGATGATAAAATTCACTTATCAAACATTGAAATGTAGACAAGCGAAAAATTATGTGGTGGATGGGTTCTATAACCCATTCAACTAGCAATTACGAATTCAAAATTCGAGTTATTAAAACTGAGCATATCTCTAACGTGATATAAATTAGGTGAACATCACATTTAACTAAAAATTAAAAACTATAAATATGGCTTATCAATCGTAACAGTCACCATACAATTAACTCGTTAAGTACAATATAATAGATTACTCTACCACCTACGGCTACTTTAGCTCACTTTATTACTGCAATTAGCTGAAATTATTACATCGGTATTATAGATTTCGTTATTTTGAGAGCAGATTGATCGATTTAGTCCCTTTCTTACTTTGTTCGCAAATAAAAGGATAAAATGAATTACACCTTCTGTTATTCCACAATAAAGTTGCGCTGTCGATCGTAATGCAATTTCCTGACTGTGGATCAGTCGCTTTTGGCTGACTAAACTGCCCCCAATTGGTGAACGATGGATAAATAGAAAAGTCTGGCATCAACCACTTAAACTGTTGAAATTCTGTCGGCTTTGAGTTGTTCGCTTTTAAGCCAATCCATAATTCAGATCGTCGTATCATAAGCGATTTTAAAGCTTGTAATTTATTATATGATTCAATCTGGACAAGCTGCTTGCCAAGATCTTTACAATACTTTTCGGATAGCCTAAAAATTAAGGTCTCATAAAATGAAGTTATGCAAGTAGAGTCAAATAGTACTGATGGAGCCTTGCATAATTCATCCCCTATATGAAAATACAACGTTAGTGTAGTCACTGGGTTAGTTTATTAACAATTCCAATATTTATACGTAGTTTGTAGCAATTCATAAATTGCATCAACTTTAATAAAGAAAAGAACTTACTGAATGGAATAAAATAACTAGATAGCAGATATGATGTCAGTGTCCAGTTTGAAGAAGTATTTCTCAGATCTTAACATAGATCAAATTTAAAATTTAATAATTATGCAAGATCATGATTGCATTAACGTCTCAGATTTCGTTTATGACATAATAGAACTATACAGTATAACTACTATACTTTATTAATCTCTATTTTGCAGCTTAAGTTCGTCTGAAACGATCGTTAGATTAACGATTTAATTTCAATCCAAACTGTAAGTATTTCAAACCAATCGATGACTTTTAATATTTTACTTAATCTACCAGTAAAGCTGAATTCTTTATGTAATACTAGGTAACAGTTTTGCCCGTCCTTACCTAGCTGGCATATAAAGGAAAAGTTATCAGCGCAATTTAAGTTGATCCAGCGCAGCTGAGTACTAGAATTTTCTAAAGATACGCCAGCACATAACTTTGATGAAGTAACAACTATATTCTCATGCCACGAGTTCCAATTTCCAACGGTATTATTACTATTTATCCATTTAGCATGAGTAAATGTTCCATTTAAATCCATCAGCCCGATCCAGTAATGTGCACGATGCAAACTATTCATACTCTCAGGTAATGCTTGTATTATACCAAGAAGAACAGTATCCTCATCAGTATCGCTGATCTCCACTAAACTACCTTTATAAGTGTTTTCACAATAACTTCTAGCACTATTGAATGATGCTTGTGATTGGCTGATAAAATAACGCTTGAAATAATGGCTAAACCATCTATCACCTAGTCAGAGATAAAAGAAATGACTTAATAAAAGTTTTATTCTTGATTTATTATACTATAATTTCTATACGATAATTAAGATTTATAACAATTAAATAATTAAAGCTTCTATGACCTATTTTATTACCAGATGCATTTGCCATTTTAATATTGTTAAATGCAACGGAACATAAAGTTCCGATAACAATCCATTTTAAAGCAGAAATCTAAATAGAAAGGAGGAATTAGATGGCAGCTGTAACAGTAATATGAATTTCAGCTTAATCTAAAAATAATCTAATGAATTATCAGTGCCTTTTATTTAATTAAATATGATTTTAAAGCTTTAAAGTTCACACATTGAATCTATGTACTTAGAATGATTATAATTTGTAAAATTTACGCACTATACTGATAATGTGGGCTTGTTGATACGTTATGAAACATGCTATAACTCATCAGGGTTGCAGTTAGTAATTACCAGTTACCGGCAGTCACAAGTAATTATAATTGCTTGAGAAGTCTAAGCACCATCCTGTGTGCTGTTTGATTTAGTTACTTTCAGTAGTGAAATTTAGAGATCCTTAGTGAGATCTATCGTGATCTACTTTGTATTAGTTAGATCATAAGGTCAAATAATATTCAACATCGTTTTGGATCATTAATTGATCTCAAATAAATAGTAACTTAAGACTAGCAGATATTGCGTAGAAGTAGTCCATTAATTAATACATTAGTTAGAGTATCTCGAGAATTTCCTGCATCTGCGAATAAAATAGTTCTCATACAATACGTTAGAATTACTGAACGGTAACATCTGTATCGTTTCCATGCATATTACATAGATTCCTTTATATATTATACTTCGTCTATTTTTCTGCTTTAGCCAATACACCAGTATTTGCTCCTTGAAATTTGATCATAATTTCATTTCCCAACTTTCTGTACTAATAACAGATCTAATATACGTATGTTTGCTTACATAACATTATTGTCGTTATCATTAAATATTATAGCGGAAAATAACCGTCTATCTACCTGTTTATGAAGTTATTTAAACTACTTCGTATTATATAGTGTCCTATTTTTAGGTAAACATTTTACTAAAAATGCGCTTTTTATAGCATAAAGTGATAAATAACGATGATCTAATAGCTATTCTAAGAAAATAAGAGTATGCAATTAACAATAAAATAAGTTGAATCTTAAAAAATTGATTTATATTGCAACATTCAAGCATGATAGCTATTAACAATCCTAAGATTACATTATATCAGCTGTAGCTACAGCTTATAACACAAAATTAGTATATTTTGTAAGAGTCTATAATATACCTCTTCTTTTTCAATAAAATATTATAATATTATTTTCAATAAAAGTTTTTCTGATAGCGACAGCAAGTAACATATATCTATCTTTGAA